CAGTTACCAAGCTCCTCTCCTGTGGAACCAGCTTCCAGTTGTGGTTCGGGAGGCAGACACCCTCACCACATTCAAGAGTAGGCTTAAGACATTCCTCTTTGATAAAGCTTATAGTTAGGGCTGGATCAGGTGAGTCCTGAACCATCCCTTAGTTATGCTGCTATAGGCCTAGACTATCGGGGGATTTCCCATGGTGCACTGAGCTCCTCCCTTCCTCTCTCTTTCTGCACTCATTCATGTCCCATTAATGCATGTTACTAACTTCACTTCTTCCCCGGAGTTCTTGTGCTTTCTCATCTCGCAGGTTCTCATGGATCCTGGTGGAGCCTCCTGCCATGGTCCTGCTTGACTGCCATTGCCAATACTGTTGTTGCTGTGCACCTGTCTGTCTGTCTGTCTGTGTGTGTGTGTCTCTCTCTCTCTCTCTCTCTCTCTCTCTCTCTCTCCACCCCAACTGGTCGAGACAGACGACCACCCACCTAGAGCCGAAGGATCTGTCCTAGGTTTCTGCCTTTTAACAGGCAGTTTTTCCTTGCCCTTGTCGCCAAGTGCTTGCTCATGGTGGTACTGTTGGGTCTCTGTAATTAATGTTAAAGAGTTCGGTCTAGACCTGCTCTATTTGAAAAGTGTCCTGAGATAACTTCTGTTATGAATTGGCGCTATACAAATAAAATTGAATTGAATTGAATTGAATTGAATGGAGCTTGAGGAGACGTGAGAACATGAAGAGGAGAAGCTATTGCGCTGAAGTTTCTGATAAACCGCCTGTAGAAGTTAGCAAAGCCCAGAAATTGCTGGACCTTCTTGCGGTTATCAGGTGTAGGCCACTGAGCCACAGCGCTAACTTCAGCCGGGTCCATTTGTATCTGACCAGGGGCTATGATGAAGCCCAGGAAAGACACAGATTTGGCATGAAATTCACTTTTTTCTGCTTTAACATAAAGCTGGTTCTGCAGCAGGCGCTGGAGAACCTGGCGGACATGATCAACATGAGAATCTTTATCTGGGGAGAAGATCAGGATGTCATCCAAATATACAAACACAAACTGGTTGAGGAATTCCCTCAGTACGTCATTGATTAAGGCCTGAAATATTGCAGGAGCATTGGTCAGTCCAAATGGCATTACCAGGTATTCATAATGCCTTGAAGGAGTGTTAAAACCAGTCTTCCACTCATCCCCCTCTCTAATGCGGACCAGGTGATATGCGTTTCTCAGGTAAAGCTTTGTAAAAATCTTGGCCTGTTGCAGTTGTTCAAAGGCAGATGACATGAGAGGCAGAGGGTACTGATTCTTAATGGTAATGTCATTTAGAGGTCCATAGTCAATACAGGGTCTCAGGGAACCATCTTTTTTACCCACAAAGAAAAACCCTGCCCCTGCTGGGGAGGATGAGGGGCGGATGAGTCCTGTTTTTAAGGACACCTCAATATACTCAGTCATAGCTACCTTCTCAGGGCCCGAAATGGAATATAACCTCCCCTTTGGAATCGATGCCCCTGGGATAAGTTCAATAGGACAGTCATAAGGTCGATGGGGTGGTAGAGACATGCTCCTACCCCAGGCCTTCCCCATCCCATAACTTTCCGTGAACACCAGTCAATGTGGGGGTTATGTCTATTGAGCCAGGGGAACCCCAGGATCAGAGGGTGTTCATTCAATTCAATTGCACTCTGAACATCAGTTCATGGTGATCCTCAATGGTCACTTCTACTGGCTCAGTTACATGGGTTACTTTAAAAATGAAGCTGCCATCTAAGGCACTAGCCTCCAAGGGCAGTGATAAAGGTTCAGTCTTAACATTTAGCTTGTGAGCAAAATCCCAATCCATGAAGCTTTCATCTGCCCCAGAGTCAATTAATACTCCCAGAGAAACCATAATGTCATTGTGTTTTACCTGGATGTCAGTCAGGGAGTGGGAGGGGCTGTCAGAGGTGGAGGAGTGACTCACCCGGAATCCTTTCTCCAGCTGGTGGGCTCTCCCTTTGACTGGGCATGCTGCCAGCAGATGTCCCAGTTGTCCACAATAGAAGCACCTCCCTTCCTGTAGGCGGCGTCGTCGCTCCTCTGCAGACAACTTGGCCCTTCCTAGCTGCATGGGCTCCTCCAAGTAGCTGGGGGGTGTTGCTCTCCTCGGGACTGGTGATGACGAACGGATAGAATCCCTCCATCCGTGTGAGGCAGGCGAAGGACGACCTCTGGCGTGGTCCAGGAAAACTGTAGCTTGGGACTTGTCTCTCTTCTGCTCTGTCAGGCGATGGTCAGTTCTGACCGCTAATGCAATCAGAGAGTCAAGATCCTCAGGCAGATCGAGAGGAACCAACAAATCTTGTATGGAATCAGCAAGTCCTTTGATAAAAGCATCATACAGTGCTGTGGAATTCCATCCGCTATCTGTGGCTAAGGTGCGGAAGCGGATGGCATAATCAGAAACAGAGTCCTTGCCTTGCCTGATGCTGCTCAGCTTGCGTGCCGTTTCTCTGCCTGACGTGGTAGGGTCGAAAACTCTCCTCAACGCCTCTATGAACCAATCCCCGGATTGACAGATCGGTGATCCACGGGACCATTCTGCCGTAGCCCAATCCCGTGCTCTCCCAGTGAGATGGGAGATCATGAAAGCCACCTTGGATTTTTCTGTGGGGAAGGCTGATGGCAATTGTTCATAGTGCATTTCACAGTCCACAATGAATGAACGGCATTCTCCAGACTCACCAGAAAATTTTTCGGGTGGAGCAAGACGAGGAGTCGGGGCGTGGGTAGCCGGAACTGGTGGTGCTGCGGCGGTCGCCGGGGAAGGCGTGGCTGAGGGGTTCTTGGTCAGGTGAGCAAGCACCTGCTCAATCTGGGTTGTCAAGATAGTCACTTGGGCGGTCATGCCAGACCTAAATTCTTCTTGACTGCCTGCCAGCATTCTCACTCCTTGTTGCAGGGCGGACATCTGGTCCTCCTGCAGATTAAGGCGGGCGCCTTGTGAGCGTATGTCTGCCGACAGGTGGTCTGAGCTGGTTGGGTTCATGCTGGCCAGTTCGTTCTGTCACGACCGAACTATGGACTAGAACCCAATTGCACAACTCAGACAAAAGTATCAAAATAAAGTTTTATTAACAAAACAATAAACACTCTTGCGAGGAAATACTAGGACTAAAACAAACAGAAAATCACTCTTGTGAGGAAATGCTATGGCTAAGAAAACAAACAGAAAAGCACTCTTTCGAGGTGTTGCTATGACTAAGAAAACAAACAGAAGATCACGAGCAAACAAAGTAACAAAACAACAAGACCTGACAATTGGACATGGATCAATAAAGCGCTGGTTCTCTGGTGCATGGGACAAGACGAACTGGCACAGGACAAAGGGGTGTGTATATATACACACACACAGTAAGGGCACAGGTGAAACAATCAGGGCGGAGACAGGTAATCCCAGGAGCGGGAAAAGAGACAAAGGGAGAAAGTAAAGCTGGTGACAAGAGACAGACAGGAAGTAGAACCAAAATAAAACAGGAAATTACAAGACAACATAGACACGTGACAAAACAGAATAAATAAACTTAACAAAGTTTCCTGGACATGACAGTCCCTCATACCCTCTGACGACCTTTCGTCCCCTAATGATGTGGTTCTCTTATAGGAGACTATCACTGTAAGGTGTGGATTTACCATGGATGTAAATATGATATGTAAATATAATTTGTGGGTCCACAATGACGGCCGCATTATGGCTCCCAGCTCCCTGGACCCATGGATAGCTCACATGTCACGTGGTTTGTCACATGTGAGCAAAGGGGGATGTGTCAGATGTATCAGATAGTGTGTAAAAATTACATACAGTGTCTGCACATCCTCCCCTACAGGGACCTTTTGAAGCTTTACAAATTGTATGCAAAATGTATGGATATTAAATGTTTTTATGTGTTTTCAAACTAGCCTGAAGCCTCGACTTGCAAGAAGGCTGACATTTTTTTTAACGAAGACACCTACTGCTTTTCAACTACAACTCTCAAACAATACCCCCATATAGTTTTTGACCGTGTAAAGTTCAGCTTTAATTGTTTTATTGACACATGATTTATTTTGTTATAATTTAAGAAATAAATGGATTGATATATGCAGCTTTTGAAAACACTAGATGACAATGAAGCACGCAGTAAAGCCAGCTGCAAGGACAAGTACAGAACAGACCAAATGGTAAATGGATCTTCCGACCACTCAAAGCGCTTTTACACTATGTGCCACATTCACGCTTCCGCACACATGCATTCAGTGATGGCAAAGGCCATCGAACAGAAACTTACGCATTCACAGCAATTTGGGGTTCAGTATCTTGCTCAAGGATATTTTGACATGGGGCGGGAGGAGCTGGGGATTGAACCAACAACCTTCCAATTAGGGAACGACCCGCTCTGCCTCTGCCATAGCCGCCAGGTGTCAGCAATAGGCCTGCACTGTTCAGACCAAAGATTTGCAACAAGACTTGCAATTACTTGCAATTAGAAGAGACGGTGTATCATCTTCATAGCAACAACTCTCTGTACTTCCATTCTAACTGCTGGCTTTCAGGTGTTTTTGTAGCTGGATATAATTAATAGCATTCTAAAATATAAAATGAGGATAGTGAGTTACTTGTTACAGATGCATTTTATCGATGAAACAATAAAAACAAATTGATGACGTGATTCTCTATTTACTCTGTTTAAAATTAACATTTCGACCAGCTTACAGTCTGTAACTGACTTGACCAGATGTTTTTTTCGCAAAATAAGCCGGCTGTTGAAACAGGGGACATCCCTTATATTCTAAAACCAGGCATTGGAGATTTGACAAGTTGAGTTGCACAGAACATTTTGTCTGAATCCCTGTGAACTGGGCTTTTGTCCTGACTACAGAAAAAAACAAACAGCATGTCTAGTCATTCTAAAAAGAGGGGGGAAAATAGGGAAATTTGCAGTAAAGAACAACATAACACAACATAACCTAGATATTTGATGTCACACACAGAGATCAGCTTGCGGTATGTAACTTTATTGGGAAGGCAAGTTACAGGGAAGGAAGAAGTGTGAAGAAGTGTGTGTGTGTGTGTGTGTGTGTGTGTGTGTGTGTGTGTGTGTGTGTGTGTGTGTGTGTCTTAGGGAGGGCATTGCCCTTCTCTTTCCACTTTCACATTCTTCTTTTGTTGTCTGTAGGGAAAAAAATAATACATGGCATTACAGCACTGTGGTTTGGCTTATGTATTTGTGTGCATATGGCAATGCTTATGGTTGTGTTATTATTTGCAAATGTTCGTGGAGAATCCATACTAATGACTGAAAAGTCTGAGTATTTAGCAACAAGAGCTGAACAAAAACAGACAATTCTTCAGTTCCACCTTTCACTTGGCTGCCTTTTTTAATGTAAATGATAAATGGACTGTACTTATATAGTGCCTTTCTAGTCTTTCGACCACTCAATGCGCTGTACACTACATTCCACACTCACCCCATTCACACACATTCATACACTGATGGCAGTGGCTGCCATCCAAGGTGCCAACTGCTCACCAGAGCTAATCATTCATACACACTGCACAGCATTGGGAGAAATTTGAGGTTCAGTGTCTTGCTCAAGGACACTTCGACATGCAGAGAGAGGAGCCAGGGATGGACCCACTCTACATCTGAGCCACAGCCGCCTTCTTCTGCGGCTTCTGCTACGCTCCTGGGGTCAGATGTATAAATCATGCGGACAAATAAAGTGTGCTTAATCCACTTTCCACACCACTTTTACACCATGTGTACCCCACATAGTCCTTTGAGTCTTATAGTGTGATGATGCAAGTTGGCACAAAAGGGAAAAATAAAAGTGTGAATTTGAGTTACACTTTATTTAGAGCTTTTGGTCTTTCACTACACTGTGTTAGGATGCAATCTGTATTTAATTTATTTATTATTTATTTCTGTTTAAATAAAACTTCACTAACATAGGGGATGTGTGTGATTAAATTTTTTTTTCTATTGAGTAAATTTTTGTCACTACATTATAATAATAATGATAATAATCTTTATATAAATAATTAAATAAACACACAATCTTTAAAAAACAGACATTATTATCCTGCATTGTGGAATAAGATAAGGTTTAAGTTCTATTTATCAGATCAACCTCACTTTGTACATGTTAACAATGAATCTTCCATGCACACAAGTTAGTTACAGGGTTCCACAAGGTTCTGTGCTTCCATTCACCTTATATATTCTTCCTTTAGGCAATATTACTAGGAAACATTCCACGTACTTTCACTGTTACACAGATGATACCCAATTATATCCATCGATCAAACTGAATGAATACAATCAGTAAGCTTAATTACAAACATGCCTTGAGGACATAAAAACCTGGATGGCAAAATTGAAGTTCCTGTATTTGGCCTCAACTGCCTTCGAAACACACTATCTAAAGATTTAGCTACTCTAGATGGCATTAAGGAATCTTGGAGATATCTTTGATCAGGATAGGTCCTTTATCTTCCACATAAAAAAAAACGTCCTTTATCCTGCCTTTATTCACCTACGTAACATTGCAAAAACAGACATATGCTGTCACAAAAAGATTCAGAAAAACTTTTCCATGCGTTTGTTACTTCTAGGCTGGATTACAATTACAACTCCTTATTAAAGCTGCAAGCAGCGATTAACGGGCCCTTGCACTCCACTGTAATGGTAGATTCAGTTTCTTTGTTTCAGCCACTGGAGATGCCCAACCTCCCCCTTCCTAACACAAGATGCCAGGTCCTTTTATGTTTTGTAGATTGTGATGTCTGGACTTGGCCTTACACCTGAATGCAAGATCCTGCAGGACACCTCATATGTAAAACACACCAGTAGGGGGCCTGCCCCAATGTCTGCAGTGGGCAGAGGGGTGTAGAAGCACTTCCTGGAGGGCCAGACCCCTACAGCAGACAAAGGTGTGTGAAAGAGGTGGTCCTCAGGTATAAATGTTTAGATCTCCCCATGTTCGGGGTCTTTCTTCATCTTTGACCGCTCGTGTGTTGATTGACCTTTTCTTTGCAAAGAAAATAAACTTGTCGGCCGGCAGAAGTTCTCTATTTCATTCTTCACCAGCAGCAGAGAAATTTCCACAACAATTTGGTGTCAGAAGTGGGATCCCTCGAGCGATCGTCTGGGACGGGACGCGGACAGTGACAGGCCATCCTGGAAGAAAAACTTTTCAGCCTCCAACCTCAAAATCCTCTTCTGAGAAGGGAGGACTGATCGCAAATGTCCCAGATCGTCGCCGCTGGGATTTCCACAAACGCAATTCGACGAAATTCATCTGGTGAGCACTGAAATATTGACATTTAAATTTCTTTTCTTTAAATTTTGGGTTTAAAATTGGCTAAATATTTCCGTTTCTCACATATCCACAATCGATCTGCTTTTTGTTGCTTGTAGCCTTAAACGAAGTAGCCAGGTCTTTGTTGCTTGTTCCTTAAACGAAGCAATCAGGTTTTTAAATCACTTGTAACCATAAACGAAGTGATTTGCTTTTTTTCACTTGTAGCACAGACAAAGTGATCAGGTCTTTGTTGCCTTAAACAGGTCTTTGTTGCTTGTTCCTTAAACGAAGTAACCAGGTCTTTGTTACTTGTTCCTTAAACGAAGTGACCAGGTCTTTATCACTTGTTCCTTAAACGAAGTGACCCTTTACAGAGACGTCTGTATTGTAATAGTTGTGCACGACCTCCATTTGGAATGGGGAGTAAAAGCTCTGGAGGTTGGACCTCCGGAGGGGGCGATTGTGGATGTTATGAGAAGGAAATATGGGGATAAAAGTTTAAAATATTTAAATGTCTGGACAGCTGAGTTTGGATTCCCAATAGGGGGATCCCTCAGTTTTGTTTTTATTTTTTTTATTTTATTTTAAAAACATATCGATATTAGAAGAAAAACTGAAGGGAAAAGAACAAAAAATGAGAAGGAAAAATAAGGTTTCTGTAAGAAAATTAGAAAATATGGAAGGTCAAAAAGAATGTTTTCAGATGTGGAAAGGGGAAGCAGAGACACGAGATAGGAAAAGAATGCTGAAACAACTCCCTTTTCCATGTGAAAAAGTTGAAACCAATGAAAAGCAAATTTCACACACAAAGAATACCAGACTTGCAGACTTCTTCTTTGTTTCCACAGTTGGCGGTTTTGAAGCTGGATCCAGACCTTGACGGCAACCCACCTATTCATCCTTCAGCTCCACCACCATACAACACAGTGACACCCAGCAAAAGAAGGGAAGCAGACTCCGCCATGCCACAACAAAAAACAAGTTCAGGAGCAGCTCACTGTGCCCCTGATGTGTCCGTTCCACCACAGAACCCTACAACCAACCCCCCTTCTCCAATAGCACATAGACTGTGTCATCCAAATCAAGATGCAACCTTCAACATGCCCATGGTTGAAATATCTGGACCAGAAGGTGCAACGTTGATTTTCCGCCCATGGACTTCTGCTGACATCACAGCAGCCTCACAACATCTGCCCAACCCAACAACATCAGAGGTATTCAACACCTACATACCTGGATTAAACAATATTCCAGATGTGTGGAAAATTCATCTTTGTAACTGTTTGTTACGCGGACTAAAACCAGACATTGCCTCAGCTGTTAAAAGTTCCTGCATTGGATGTAATGATGCACGCCTGTCCAAACTTTGCAAACACGCCATAAATGCCCATGACCAAATATTCTCAAAAAAAAAAAAAAAAAAAAAAAAAGAAGAGACAACACAGAAAGAGCTTCACATGGCAGCAATAACCATGTATAACACAATCCGAGAACATGGACAACCAGATCATACACATAGAGGAAAAGATAACCAACACAGGCACTGGAAAGATAAAATTCCAAAGAATGTTTGTTTCCTGTGTGGTCAACATGGACATTGGAAACGCGAGTGTCCCAAAAATACCTCATCGACCCCGGTGGACAAGTCGGACTGAAAATGGGAAAGGGTTGTCGGAGAGGGATGGACTCCTGCTGACAAGCCAAACCAACTTGTGAGATCGAGAGAAGGTACTGCACCACACTCACACACACATACTGAGCAGATTAATACACAATCTATAGAGAATTCAGACAACAGATATACAATTGCTCTAACATATGTTCAGTACACATCTGATCATTTCAAGAGGTTTCCACAACATACATTGACCATTGCAGAACAAAATGTTGCATTCTTAGTTGACTCAGGAGCCACACATTCTGTGATAAAAGCTTTAGAACTCACTACAAAACCAAAAATGAGTGGAGATTATGTGTACTCTGTTGGTTCATCAGGTCAAACAATTAGAGAGAACATTACTGTCCCACTCAAATGTGCGGATGGGCCAGATATAAGCTTCAAACATGCATTCTTGCTCTCAAAAGTCTGTCCCATTAACCTGATGGGCAGGGACTTGATGTGCAAATTAGGCCTTTGTCTGATCTCAAACCCAGAAGGTGTCAAAGTTCACAGACTATCTGATCTGGAGCCAAATTTTTCACACTCTTTTGTTCACCACATCCCAGAACTACAATATGCATATCTATGGAAATTGCAACCATCAACTGCCTCTGAGCTTGTTACTTAAGCTAGAAAAACAGTTTTAACAGCTACAATAGATTTCATGACACCAGAGGATCTGCATTGTACCTCTCATGTGTCACCAGGACCTGATGAGCCATATGAGGAAGGTTGGTTGAGAGAGAGATTCGATAAACTCACACTGACACACATTTATTGGACACAACATAAGTGCGCTATATCAGTCTCTCTCACACCAGCTCAATGTGATGTGTACACCATAGACCATTCAGTCCCACACATCACACTTGCAAAACACACATCAGATAATTGGGAAGATTTGGGACCTTTTATAAAATCATGTCAGCGCGCAGCCGATTGGCAAGAAACATCTGATCGATCTATTTTTTTTTCACCAACACTGCAGTGTTACTCTAAGAGTTTACCATCTTTTGTGCACACTCAAAGAACAATCCAGCTGGTACCTAAAAGCACTTCTAAAAAAAAAATGTTTTTTTTCTCTTTTTGTCCGAAGAACAAGCAACAGCTATTACAGCCCTACAGGAGGTCCTTAAGACACTGTGGGCTGTTAGTAAGTATGATGTTGGCCTCATCAAAGACTGTGAACCCGTTGTCATTACTCCA